GTGTCCCCTGCATCGGCAGGCGGACTCTCAACCACTGCGCCACCAGGGAAGCCCTCAAGCTCTTATCTTAATCCTATTTCCTAAACCCATGTTCTCATTACTTCTCAGCTACTAGCAATGATCTCTAATCTATCTTCCCTTTAAATCAGCCCATGTGCTGCACTGGCATAAACTCCTCAAAGCAAGCCCAGCTCTCATTTTGTCATCCACCCCACAGGAGAACCTTCAGTGTTATCCCATTGTCTGCCAAATACACATAAAATCACTTAGCCTGGCATTTAAGACTTCTTTAATTTGGCCCTTCCATCTTCCTTCTCATCTTCTTCATGTAATTTCTTCTCTGCAGGTAGCAGCGCAATTAGGTGTTAAGGGTGCCTGATTGCCAAGCAGACACCCTGGGTTTGAGTCTCAGCTTTACCTCTGTCTAGATGTATGACCCTAGGAAGTTTCTTAACCTCTTTATACCTCACCTGTAAAATGGGAATAAAGGTAGTACCTAATAGAGCTATATAAGTTGTAAATATAAAGCACGTAGAAAAATGTCTGGCACATGGTAAGGACTCTCCTAATCTTGTTTTTAATTCTTTTAAAACTAATAAAGTATAAGCTGCCCATACACCAAGGCTTCAATAAAAGACTAACTTCAGGGGACTTCCCTGGTGGTGCAGTGGTTAAGAATCTGCCTGCCAATGGAGGGGACATGGGTTCGAGCCTTGGTCCGGGAAGATCCCATATGCTGCAGAGCAACTAAGCTGGTGCGCCACAACTACTGAGCCTGCGCTGTGAGACACAACTACTGAGCCCACATGCCTAGAGTCCGTGCTCTGCAACGAGAGAAGCCACCGCAATGAGAAGCCCGCACACTGCAACGAAGAGTAGCCCCTGCTTAGCACGACTAGAAAAAGCCCGCGTGCAGCAATGAAGACCCAACGCAGCCCAAAATAAATAAATTTATTTTTAAAAAAAAAACTAACTTCATAACATCCTGGTAAAGATACTGAAGAATTCATGACAGTGTACAATAAGAGCCAAAAAAAAAAAAGAAAATTAAGCTTCCATTACTACGCTATTATTTCTCCACATTTATTTAAACATTTCAAAGTATCTGTGATAGGAAGGCTTACCCATCTGCTTCTAAATGTAAAACAAAAGGCATTCAAGATAATAGTAATTCATTAGCAAAACTCATCTTAGACCCGATTTCTGGCTATAGAAGCCATACCTTCCTATGCTTTTCATAATAAAACTGCTCTGAGTCCTAGTAAAACCAAACAACCTAGGTTTGTAATCAGCATATCAAATTTATGCCTTGAAGCAAGAAAGAAAATCAAGAACTTTACAAATAATCTGAGATGGCAAATAGTTTTCACCTTACACTCTGATTTGGATCCATTAAAATGTTGAGAAGGGGCTTCCCTAGTGGCACAGTGGTTGAGAGTCCGCCTGCCGATGCAGGGGACACAGGTTCCTGCCCCGGTCCGGGAGGATCCCACGTGCCGCGGGGAAGCTGGGCCCGTGAGCCACGGCCGCTGAGCCTGCGCATCCGGAGCCTGTGCTCCGCAACGGGAGAGGCCACGACAGTGAGAGGCCCGCATACCCCAAAAAAAAAAAAAAAAAAAAAAAAAAAATGTTGAGAAGGATTCAAATATGGTACTGTAGGCTCAGAAGCAGAAGCAAATGCCAGGGTCAGTCAGCAACATCTAACAAGTTAAGGATGAAGAGCTGAATACCTGTTAGCCCTAGACTAGAGAATGGAGGAAGAAAAAAAACAGTGCAACAGATGGCAATACAACTAGGCTAAATTTTCTGAACACTTATGTGACGAAACTGTTCTAAATGCTCTTGGTATATAATTCTTTTAATCCTCAAAAACATCCCTTAAGAAAGGTCATTCCTATCATACAGATGAAGACACTAAAGCACAAAGAAGTTATAATGTACCCAAGGATACCCAAGTAGTAAGTGGTGGAGCTGGGATTTGAACCCAGGCACATACCAGAATCCATGGTCTTCACCATTAGGCTATAAGGACTCAAAATATTTCCATATTCTTGATGCAAGGAGATGTATAGATTGACAGGAAAGGCAGTTCCAGAAATCTCCAAGATGATTATAGCCCAGATTTCCTTCAATTAAGATGCTTCTGGCAGTAAGAAACCTGAAGATCCAGCCTTACCTTCAGCCTACATCCACAGTGCTCAAAAGTTCCGCAAAACCAGTGCCTCAGGACACTAGGAAAGGACTTTGAATCCACTCATAATCTTGGTATGAACAATGAAGAGCTCAAGAGATTCCCAAGGACTAAACCCCAAAACCACTGTAAATGCCCAGATGTACCAATAGTACTAAAGCATAATACTATAAGTCAATGTGTCCTTCATAAAATGATTTCCAAACAAAGCAGTTGCTAGTAGTAACTAGTAGTTACTACTAGTAGTTACTACTAGCAGTAGCTAGTAGTAACAAATTTGCTAGTAGAATAATTGTTCTCTGATGAACCTCAACAAATCAGAAAGGCTATGGATTCATGGGTAAAACATAGAGCTAATTCCTAGAAGACACTTGAGCTTCAGAGCTTTCTCAGAATGAATTTATAAATAGGTGTAAATTTGTACATGGGATTCCAGGCATAGTAATGAGAATATACACACAAATTATATTAAGGTACTTCAATGAAATTATTACTAATTGTAGCATTAAAGACAGAGAGGGAACTGGAGTTCATTCTAACAAAACTGGTTAACAGCACTTGCTACAATAGTTGTGATGCATGTAATATTCTAGTTGCAACTTCAGTTTACTTACTCTTTCACTTCCATGTTGGTTTAGAACAGTCCCAAAAAGGCCCATTTAGACTGAAAATGAAAATAATAATTAAAACTTTCATAGCTCAATTTTGGGATATGCTAAAGAGTCACTGGTTACCTAATATGTAGTTTCATAGGCCCTCTGGTCACCTGTTAAACTGGTAAGAGATAAATTAACAGGCAGCTGTATACAAAGAAGGAGAGGGTAAATTCACCTGCCAGAGGGAAACACTGTATAAAAATATTTCAAGTGTTCCAACTTAACAGCTAGGAAGTCTGAGAAGACAGTCCTGTTGCCTTTGCTTACCTACTCTTTTGGGGTCTGTTCCCAAAGGCCCTCTGTACCCTGAGGATGCAGAATGTGGTAAGGGTGCCGGAGGCCCAGGAGGCTGCTGCTAAATTGTTGGAGCCTCTCCACTAGAAATTATCCAAGACAAAAAGGTCGTGCTGCTTTTTCACTTGTAAGTGCTGAAATAAAACACAAAGGTAGCATGCTTATAAGGATGGTTTGGCTACTCGAGAAAAATCTTAAGCCATTGTAAAAAATTTTGAATGAAAATACTACTTTAGTAAACTCACTACTGGCCCCTCCCAAAATGCTCTGCAGGGTGATGTAATTACCAAAAACAAAACAAAACAAAACAAAAAATCCAACAGCAAAACCGGCTGCATATATTACATGACTGTAGCCCATGACTGGTTATGCACGCGATTCAGCTTAGTCTCCTTGAAAAAAAGAACATATCCAGCTCAATTAATCCAGAGCAACCCGGTAATGAAAGAACCATCTGTCTTCTTTTTCAGCTTTTCTACACACGTACACACAGCTTTATTGTTCAATGCAGAGGTGAGAGAAGGAGCTGCTGGAAAACCTTCTGAAGAGGAAAGGGAGGGAGGGAGACAGGAGAATGTGGAGGAAGGTCAAGAAGAACAAAAATATCCAGAAGGAAGTGAGGGGAAAGGAAGTGTGGGAAGTTAGAACAGCAACTACTTTTAACAATGTGCCATGGGCTACTTTCTCCAAAAAATTTTGAAAAAAAAATCTCAAATGCTCCTGCTATAGCTTTTCTTACACAAGACTAAATAATCCTGATACAAAAACAAACAAAACAAACAAAACTGCATGCTCTGTATTTCTTGGGTTAGTAGAAAGTGTCATTTAAAAAAAAAATTTTAGGAATCAAAAAACAAAGCCAACAAAAATATGGCAAATATTTTATTTCAGAACCCATTGATGAACTGATGTCCTACAATAAGTGATTATGCTTAATTAAGAAAATCATAGATCGGGCTTCCCTGGTGGCACAGTGGTTGGGAGTCTGCTTGGCGATGCGGGGGACGCGGGTTCGTGCCCCGGTCCAGGAGGATCCCACGTGCCGCGGACCGGCTGGGCCGGTGAGCCATGGCCGCTGGGCCTGCGAGTCCGGGGCCTGTGCTCCGCAGCGGGAGAGGCCACAACAGTGAGAGGCCCACATACCGGAAAAAAAAAAAAAAAGAAAGAAATCAGTTGATGTGCTGAATTGTGGATTACAGGGGACTTTTTTTCTTAAGTTTTAAATTTATGGAGAAACAGAAAATGCTTATTTTCATATATCTCTATATGCATATATATCTACATGCAGCATATATCTGTATATGCTGACTGGCCCCGGCATTTGAAGTGCTAAGCAGTTGGTGCATTTAGAAATGAGAAGAAAGGCAAAGCGGTGCTCTTTAGTGGCAATTATTATAATTAGAAGTCTCCACCACGAGACAGAATTTTGAACCTAAGGAAATTATGGGTAATGATAAAGTTGAGCCTCAAAATCATTCTCCCTAAATGTATAGAAAGTACAACTCCTGGGTTCCTATGATCTTCAACCTACTACTAGCTACTACCAGCTGGAGTAAAGGAGCAATCACAAATTTGGAATAGAAAGGTTAGTAAAGAAACCCCAAACAATGTCACACCAGGAACAACTAGAGGGATGAGGATTTAGTTACACCTGGAGAAGCTTAAATCAAGGAAGGAAAACAAAAATGGCTATTCTCATGTCTGTATGGCCTTCATGAAAAAGAGGCATTAGCCTGGTACTGAATGCTACAGGGAGTTAAGCCAAGGCCAGTGAATGCAATATTCAAGGACTTATCTTTGAGCTCCGCAGGAAAGAAGTTGCTTAGGTTGCCTAAAGATAATACAGGTTCCATTGCTGGATAATGAGTCACTTGTTACTAAAGATACTCTGTTTTAAAAACCACTTGGAAAAAATTAATTAATTTAAAAAAATAAAAACCACTTGGGAGGGCTTTGGATAGTAGTGCTTAATAAACTTTAATGTCCATTAACATCACCTGAGCATCTTGTTAAACTGTAGATCCTTATTCGGTAGGGCCGGTGGGGACCAAGAATATGCATTTCTAGCGAGTTCCCAGGTGGTGCCAATGCTGATGTAGCTTGGTTACAAGCATTAGAATATTATTTAAACCAGTGTTTCCCAAAGTGCAATCTTCTAACCATATGGCTTCAAAAGTACTCCAACCCTGATTTGGGGGCAGATGATTAATAAATAGGTAAAGTAGTTATTAGCAGAATTGTGCAGGCACACACCTTCAAATTAAAAATAAAAAGGGTGTATGGTGGTATCTTCCAGTACCCCCAGGTGATACTTTTGAACAATAACTAATTTTGTCCAATTTTAAAGAATACATGTTTCATTTCAATTAAAAAAGGATTAAAAAATGATGCTTTTACTCCAAGCTTGGTAAATAACTGAAACCAAATAAGCGTGTCCTGATGAATGAATGAATGAATGTGTATATGCTCAGCATTAAAAATGCAGTTACTTATGATTTCAGTATACAATAGTTAACAGAGAAGTAGGATAAGACAAAATATGGCTATAAAGTAATTTTTCCCAGTGATTTGTGTTACAAAATCACTTGCCTCCAAAGGTGGTGAGGGTAGACTCCTAAGGCTACATTTGTAGTCTTCTTTTTCAACGTAGGGCCTTGCATTATTTTCCTAGCCCTGAAATTTCACCTCCCCACCACCCCATCTGGATCAAAAAATTCTTTTAGTGCTTTGAAAGTTTCTTTCTTGTTCATATTTTGCTCAGCTCCCTACTTATCTCATAAATTTGGGCTTTTAATCAGTTCAAAATTCTGTGTAATGTCTTTCCTGGGGAAATATGCTAATATCTGAACACACAGACCTTCCTCAACTTTTAAAGGCTTCTTAGGTTTCTCTCCCAGAGTAAATAAACCCACAACTAAGAAGGAACCAGTTTCCTGTCTTTCCTCCTACTCTGTAAGTTCCCCTTCCAAAGGGTTTACTGTTTTATAGTTTGCTTAAAAGTTATAAGTAACATTCCATCTGACTTACAAAAGCCCTTTTTTTCAAGCTACTTATTACATCAGTTTATTCTGAATGACCCTAGCTTATTCTGCTCCTTGAGAAGTAGCATTTCCTGTTTGTTAATTCCTCTTTTGCTACTTTTAAAAGAAAAAAGTGAGTTAGCTTGAGGGTAAATGATCAGATGAGCATGTATCAAATCTTAAGATTAAAGTGTTGGAAATGTTCCTGCTTTCCACAGTAAATGAAAGTATGTGATGATACTTATGTTACTATCCATCAGATGACCCTCCAAAGTCAAATTACAAATATGATGCAAATCTTAATTTGGGGTATCTTATAATTATTATTACAAATAAACCAGTACATGTGATACATATTTTTTTTACTAAATCATATAGTCCTAGATTTACTTCTGAATACTAGCTAAATTAATCCTCTTGGCAAAGGGAGTCAATTCATTTCCTAGTAAAATTAACTCTGAAAGTTTTTACCTCTACTATAACTTTGCTGATTTAGTCAATAATTAATTTCCTAATGCCAGCCCTTGTCATAGGCACTGAAGATACAGAAGTGAAGAAGAAAAACAGTCTACAATCCAGGAGAGAAGCAGAAATTAGCAAGTAGTTTTATTACTATTAAGTAATAGTGCTTAGAGTTATTACTATATAAGTAAGTATTAAATTACAATTGTGGTCTGACAAGAAACTGACCCAGGTGGGGAAGGACAGGGAGCTTCTCAGAGGAATTTGAGAAAATTCACAGAGAACTCCTCTGAGAAGGAGTTAACCAGAAGAAATCAGGGTGGAAATGAAAAGCATCCCAGTCAGAGGAAACAGCATTTGTGAAGATTCTGAAGTGAAAATGAAAACAGTTCACCAGAAGAATTGAGGTTGCCGATAATAGGAGTAAGCATGAAAATGATAAGAGCTAATCTTTGTTGCATGCACTACTACATGCATGAACTCATAGAACCCTCACAACAGTGCTGAGATGGGCCTGTTATTCTAATTTTGTAAATGAGGAAACTGAGAGGCTTAGAGAAGTTAACTTGTCCAAGGTCTCAAAGTTAGGTGTCAAGCCA